ACATGTAACTATATGTATGCAAATATGTGTTTCTATTTCAACCACGGGTGTGCACACAGGGTATCTATATATCTATAGTGCATGTAAGCATATGTGTGCAAATATGTGTTTCTATTTCAACCACATGCACACACACAGGCTATCTATCCATATTGTGCATGTAAGCATAGGTGTGTAAATGCATGTTTCTATTTCAACAACACACGTGCACACAGACTGTCTATATAGTGCATGTATGCATATGTGTGCAAATATGCATTTATATTTCAACCACGTGCATGCACACACATCATCTATCCATCTATCATCTATCTATCTGTCTGTCTGTCTGTCTATCTATCTATCTATCTATCTAGTGCATGTAAGCATATGTGTGCAAATATGCACACATATTTCAAACACGTACATGCAAACATGCTATCTATATATATAGTGCATGCAAGCATATCTGTGCATATAGATTTGTATTTCAAACATATGCATGCACACATACTATGTATATATGTATATAGTGCATATAAATGTATGTGTGCAAATATATATTTATATTTCAGCCTCACACGTGCACACACACTGTATATATATAGTGCATATACACATATGTGTGCTTATATATGTATATATAGAGTGATCAATCCATCAATAGATAGATAGATATACTGCAAATGCACACACACTATATATATTATAGATGCATAAATAAATTTATATGCAGGTCAAATCGGGTGATTAAATCAGGAGTGAAGCTGGTTTACAGGTCTCCTCTGTTTCCCATGGTTTTATCTCAGTACATTATCATTTTTGCCTTTATTTCAAACACCATGAAGAAGTGATAGCCAAGGGGACAAAATGAAGCTTTCTGTTCATAATAGGAAACAAAGACAGGGACTAATGCAATGCAGGGATTTCTTAAGGTAGAGAAGAACCTCACACTTTCGTATCTTCCGTGTATCCATATATACAACGTGTATGGAGTATGGATAGCCAAATCATCCAGGACATGATGCTTAGCATATGGCATACTCTGACCTTTTCAGTTCTAATCTATTGTATTCTACTGTTCAATTATATGTAATTAAGAATTTTCATGTTATGTCCTTCTAAATTAATACCTTGAATCATTAGTGGATAACTCCTCCCTCACCCCTGTACACAATGATGATTAAGGTATATGTTCTTAGTGTGGCATATTACTTACTATATCCTTAGAGGACCAGCTTGAGGAATTATAGAGGAAAAAACACCAGAGTGATGGTGTTATATACATATTTTCTGATTGTGAGTCAAGGATTAAGTATTGGAGAAAAAGATAAAAAACGTTGGATATGAAATCTATAAGAAAAAGGGACTCTTAAGTGACAACTTACCCTTGAATGGATTTCTAGATGAAATGTATTGAATATTTACTGGCTGGGCATGATTGAAGGTCTGAGGGTTTTAGTACAAGCTGATGTAGAATAATTAGGTTGTTGAAAGTTGTGAAGCAGGTAGTGACCAGACAGTCCTTGAACATAACACGGCTGTTACTGAAACCTGCTTTCATTTAGTTTAAAGGTGTTCTCTAGGTGACTCGGCTAAGTTTTTAAGTCTGCTTTTCATGATAATTATAACTAAAAATACTATAATAATATTAATCAAAATTAATGGCAGCATACATTATGTTCTTCATAGTGTTCCAAATACTGTATCTTGCTAATTATAAATCAATACTATTAAGTAGTTGTTAGTTAGTTATGGTTTTGAAGGAGAATATTGAAAGTGCCATGAGCTTCCAAAAGAACCAACAGATCTGTGTTGGAAGAAGTGCAGCCAGAGTGCTCTTTGAAGGCCATGATGACCAGACTTCATCTCTCATACTTCGGACATATTGTCAGGAGGGACCAGTCGCTGGAGAAGGATCTCATGTTTGGTAGTGTGGATGGTCAGAGAAAAAGAGGAAGACCCCAGAGAGATGGATTGGCAAAGCGGCAGCTTTACTGGGCCCAAGTGTGGCAACAGTAGTGAGGTTGGCCCAGGAATGGGCAGTGTTTCGTTCTGCTGTTCATAAGGTTGCTATGGGTCGGTACCGACTCGATGGCACCTAACAACAACAACACACTATTAGGTAAACATCATATTTTCAGAGTTTCTAAAAGATAGAAACTGAGACAAAGAGAGGTGAAGTGGTTTGATCAATGTCACACAACCAGTTTCAAATCAGCCTCGTGAATCCACTTGGTTTGATTTCAGGGTTTGTGATTTTAATAACTCATCTGTGACTATGGATGAAACTCTAATTTATAAATGGATAGAGGGTCACCACAATGTGGAGTACTATTCATGAAGCTACTTTCTTGACATGTACTGAAAAGTAGGGGAAGCAAAATAGTTGAAGTTCTTTAGAAAGTCAGCAGGTTTTTAAATGAATGAGAAGCAGCCTCTCATCCTGTGTGGGAGGTCCTTGAACATAGCTCTTATCACCATCTTCTCTAAGTGCTGAAGAACACAAAGGTAACCTAGAGTAAATTTCCATGTAGCAGACCAAGGATATGAGCAAAGGTTTCTGAGGTTGTGAAACAGATGTGGACCTGAGTCTGATCACATGACTGTGCTATAGGGAATGGAGAGACGCTAGACCATAGATTCTCTTCATGGAAATGGGATCCTCTGTGCTGTGCAGCTCAGAAACATATGGAGACTTCTGCACCCACTCTGTTGTGTCTAATTGAATGTTTCTTATTCAATCTTAAAAACTATGAGGCTTCTTCAGGTTCCTCAAGGACGATTGCAAAGCAGCAAAGAAAGAGTGTGTCTGGAAGGAAAATTTCTAGTCACGTCCTTATTTTAAGCAGATCCACTCATGCATCACAGAGAACATCTAAGTGTACTAGGGTCTAGAGAAAGAGAAAAGAACCTCAGGCATTTCTTTTCTTCCCAACAGACATGTGAAAAATACCTTTTGATTGAGCCTAGATTAATGATGTGTGTTTTTATTCTGTTTTGTTTTTAAAGGTGGTCAAGTAGGTTATGACTCATAGCAAGCCTGAGTGACTGTTGACTTTGAACCATCGACTTTGTGATTCAAACCAACCTTACGGTCCTCTGTGTTATATGAGCGTTAAATTCTGTGGCCCTTGGAAACTCTGCCTTGAGTGAGTCTAAGGCTTTTCTGACTGGGCCTCCTGAGGATGGTTGCTCATGTGCAGAGAAGAGGAGACAAAGCCTCTCTGCAGCTGGAAGACCAGCTGGCCCCACCCACCTACTTTGCATACTCCTTCCATTCCACCTGGTCCTCCAGAGCCCATATGAATGCTGGGTCTGCACTCAGGGGAAGATCTATCTCACTTGGGGCACAGAGTGAACCATGGAAGGCCCAGCTTTGCTTCTCTGCCTGCTAGTGTTCTGGCTCCCAGGTGAGCACAATAGGGATGGTTCTCTCAGTGAAGACTCTTTTCAATATTTTTAGGTCATGGGACCTGACACCTTTGCTAGGCAAGCAAAATGAATGAAACTGAATATAGGCATTTATGGAATATAGATTAGTTCTACTGGGAAGACAATGTGGTATGGTCCAGATCCTATGTGTGACTTTGTGTTTTTTTTCCAACTTCAGATACCATGGGAGACGTTGTGATGACTCAGTTCCCAGCCTCTCTATCTTTGTCTCCTGGTCAAAGATCTTTCTTCACCTGCAAATCCAGTCAGGATGTTGGTGACAATGTAGCCTGGTATCAGCAGAAACCTGGGCAGGCTCCCAGGCTTCTCGTCTATGAGGTATCCAGCATGGCCAGCGGCATCCCAGGCCGATTCAGTGGGAGTGGGTATAGACAAGCCTACAATCTTATTATCAGCAGTGTGGAAGCTGAAGATGTTGGAACTTATTACTGTCAGCAGTATGAGGAATACCCTCCCACAGTGTTACATGCTTGAACATAAACCCCACCACCCAAGGGAGCATATGTGTGAGTCTGGGCTCTCCCAGCTGCATCTCTTTGTGACTCCATCTTCTTCGTGTCTTTTCAGATGTAACCACTCTGTGAACATCATGGTTTACTATTGTAGAAGGAGCTAGGTTGCCTCTTCAGCACACTTACTCTCATTCTTTCTCCTTAGTCCTAGAAGCATAGACATACACAGTGCTTGTCCTAATTTTATGAAGCACAGAATAATAATGCTGGTGTTTAGCATCACTGAGAGTTTATATTTCAAAAGTGAAGCCACTCTTAATATACTAAGCAGGAGCTGTTATAACCATTCTATTTAAATAACTAGAATTTAAACAACTTCAAAACCTTGGAAGTCTCCTTGCCAGGGAAGCAAACACTGGAAATGAGTGGTTCTCACATGATTCTCCAGAGTCCAAGTGCAGCTGTACTGAAGGTTTCTGGTACCTAACTCTATGGTCCTCAGACCTGTGTTGGCGATCAGGGGTGGAGGAACTTTTACACTCACTGAGTAGTCTATTTTCTTCATTTCTGTCTGAGGTTCTGACTGAAGGTGCTGATGGAGAGAATTGAATGCTGTTCTTCTTCCTATAAATTCATGCTAAGGTCCATTTTTGGCAGCACTACAGGAGACTCTAGAGAAAAAAGATGTTTTGAAATGTACATCATTTTTACTCTGACTCTCAAAAGATTGCATTAGAGAAAGGCCTAGACTATTCTTATATTTGATTCCAAGTATCTTCAGGAAACTGGTACTGCAGAATAAACACTTGACTGCTTACTACTAAGTCATCGGTACAAACCCAACAGCGCTCCATGGAAACATGATATAGGGTCACTGTGAGTCAGAACCGACTTGACAGCACTTAACAACAATAACAAACTTCAGGGAGTTGGTTAACAAAGAAAAAAAATACCGTTAAGTCATGTCATGAACAGAAAAAACTGAAAACATTACATCTAATACATAGAATTTATTTATGAAAACTTGAAGATATTTCTTATTTTAAAGAACAACAGCAACAGACTATTGAAATGCAGCAGAGTTCATCTTTACAATGCTCACAACTCGCTGCTCCATTTTTTCTAGGATTTAGCAGCATCAGGGGCATCAGTGGGAGTTATTAGAAATGCAAAATAGCAGGTCTCTTTACACCTGTTGAGTGTAACCATGCACTTGGCGGTATGACAGACCCCCTCTGTATACAGGGTTTCTAGAGGTGGACAATTTAGATATTGGGTACCTAAAATGGGGGACTATAAAGGCTTACACGTTTTCAAGAGGGAGTTTAGTTTCAGAGTGTGAAAGGGAAGGTAGAATCCCCACTGAATAGTTTCCATCTTGTCTAGACATGTCTGTTGAAAGGTCATTAGGATAAGATTCTTGTGATTCAATAGTGAACAATTGTTATCTTGACTAATTGTGACTGTCACAATTGTAGAGGTAGCAGTTTTGTATGAAAAGGGGGTGGGGTGAGTTAATCTTACTTTCCTGTACAGATGACCATAAGACCATCAAGCAAGAAGAGCACAAGTAGAATGTGGGACCCTCTCCAGAGGAGCAAAGACATCAGAGACAGTGGCAGAAATGGGGACATGGTGAGATAGAATAGCTGAAGGCTCTGGTCTCATGGAAAGAAAAAGACTGTGTGCTAGCAGCCAGGAGGCAGGATTGCAGAATGTATACTTTCCTTATTTAAAAGATTATATATTTCTGAGTATTTTGTGTACATACCCTGTAAAAACAAACAAACATACAAACAGAAGTGGAGGAATAGAAGCAAATACTGTCGAATGATGATACACGGGGGAGATTGTAATCATTGCAATGAACTGATGAGTGTAAACACAATATTCTCTTCTGTAAACTACCCTAGGGTCCTCTGTCCCAGAAAGTAACATTAACCCCCCACCCCCCCCTTTTGATACAAAACTTCTACCTTTACATTTGTAACAGTCGCAGTTAGTTATGATAACAATTCACAATATTTATTCACAATAAAAACTTGAAAATGTAGGCTAGATAGGAAATCTAGAGTGCTGTGAGTTTATGTTGATGAAGAAAGAACTACTTTGAAAATGAGCATGAGTTACACAACGTGAATACTGTAGCCAGTGTATAGGAACTGGACATACAGGAATTGTTCTGTGTATATTCTCAACAACAAACTCAATTATTAAAAAACAAAAAGCTGTCACTGAAAAAAAAAGGAAAGAAATGGGTTTAGATGGATCCAAATTTATGCAAAGTGTGGTTAATCCTGCTGGCTTCAGAGTCCTGATATGGGGTGCTCAGAGAGGCAGGTAGAGTGCTGACTCTGAACAGACTTCACTGCAGGGGGACCTCCTGAAGAAACTCACTGTAGGCCTGCAGAGGACAGTGTGTGTGGGGGGAGGGGTGTCATACTCTGAACAGACAGCCAGGAAAGATTTTTTGCTATCAGACATCTCCAGTAGTATGTTAGCTGTGGGTGTAGCCTCTACTCATAGTGATTGTTTGCCAGATTACCACAGGTTCAGTCAGCCATCAATAGTGCAAAGGGCACCAGAGAAACCCAAACTGAATCCCTGGTATATGTCTTCAGTTAGTTTCTAAGTCCTGTGTTGGGTGGTGTGCAGGGAGGCAGGTGGAATGTTGGCTATAAGAACGCTCTCCCCTGCAATGAGTGGTCTCTGTAGCAATTTACAGTAGACCGGGAGCTGACAGGGTTAAAGACAGGGAGGTTGCTATATATATGAGTCAGAATCAACCAAGAGTCAGTGGGCTTGGATTTCACCTAACAACCACTAAAGGGTACGCTTACGTTTATGTTTTTGCAGTGTTGATTCTGAAGTTCTGGATGCTTGATTTTGGAATTCAGTAAGCAGGTACAAGAAGGGTGGGTTTACCTTGTTGGAGATACTGAGGAAATGTTCATACTGTCTTTCCTAAGGCAAAGGTGGGGTTTTGGTATGTCATTCCCTCATGGGTGCCCCTGAGCAGGCTCTCCCATGGTGTGCTGTGTGTGGGGAACTGGACATTTCCATCTGTGGAACCTGTGGTCTGAGGTGTTCCCCTTGTCCTGCTGCCCTGCTACTTGCTCGCCGTCTCAGTGTCTGATCTTCTAGGGCCTTAAGGAGACTCAGCAGCACTCTCCCAAAGAGCCCCTGTTTGCCTTTGCCGTCTCTCATTGCGCAGCATCGTATTCCCATGACAATTTTGTGTACTCCTGGTGTGTTCATGTAGAATAAGCACTGGATCACAAGGTCGATTTATCTTCAAACCCACCAGCCACTCCTTTGAAACACTAAACAGGGTCAGTATGAGTCAGAACCAGCGTGACAGCTCTTAACAACAACAACAGCTCCATCAGATGAGCTTTCTTTCTGTTTTCCCTGTTTGGATTGTTGCCAAGTCCAGTATCCATGGCTGCTCTGAGCAAATGCTACTAATCCCAGTGTGTAGGTTCTCTTCCCTTATCTGTCATCCCAGTGGGTTCTCTTCCCAGTAACTAGATCCAAACCTATCCTCCAACACCTCTGCTACTGTCCAGAGTTCTAACACCTCAGAATTGCTTGTTTTCACTTGGTCAGTGAATCAGTTGCTGAGGGAATAAATGGGAGTGTCCACTGCCTTGCCACCTTATTTTTGTTGTCTGTTGATTTTCATTATTGCCTTCTACACCAATGTTTTAAACTGTAAATCTTGAAATTGAACATCTGAAAATAATGAAATAAACAAATTAGTGCATTGTGTGTAGCACATTTTACTAAGGATGGGGCTGGTATGGAGGTGTAGCTTTGAGTCCTTTCTGACTCATAGTGGCCTGTACCAATTTTCTAGACTATAAGTCTTTATGGGAGCAGAAAACCTCATCTTTCTCCCCTAGTGTGGCTGTTAGAGTCAAACTGCTGACCTTGCAGTTAGCAGCCCAAGGTGTAACCACGATGCAGCCAAAACAACAACAAACACAAAATCCAGACAGTCACAAATGCAGATCCTCATAACTCAAATATGTCTTAATTTGGGGTTACCTGTACTTCCTTTATGAGAATAATTAAGATTATCCATATATATCAGTAACATCCAGAACATTCTTAATGAGATATCACTCATACAATTAAATTTAATTAATAATGATAAACTTCATATTTCATAATTACACCTGGGAGTTTAAAAATTTTGAGAAAAATGGAATAGAAAGGGAATGGATTTTCTTCAAAAGCTTTTGAAACCCTCCTGTAGATGTATATAAGCCAAAACACTTGAGTTGAATCAATGACCACTCAAAGAGACCCTAGAGGACAGAATGAAGCTGCCCACATGGGGTTTCCAAGGCTACAAACTGACTGACGCAGAATGCCACAGCATGTTCTCAGGGAGCGGCTGGTGGGATTAACAACCAACCTTGTGGTGAACAATTGAATACTTACCTACTACACCACTTCTCTCTCTGTCTCTATATATTTGTTGTTAAGTGACATAGAGAAGTCGGTTCTGATTCATAGCAACACTGCACAGTGTTTCCAAGGTCCAGCTGGTGGGTTTGAACCATAGACCTTGCAGTTAGCAGCAGTCCAGTGCTAATCTTACATAATGGAATTAAAAGGTGACAGAATTTTCCATGAACTTTTTGCAGTATACATATGTGTATATTGTTGTTGTTGTGTGTTGTAACACTGGTTCCAACTCATAACGATCCTATCCCTGTATAGGATTTTTGAGCAGCAGCTGGTGTGTTTGAACCACCAACATTACGGTTTAGTCATTTCCTACATTCCATAACAGGACAACTTTAGGATTATCTCTCCCTTTGTATGCCTGTGTGCGTGTGTTGTGTTGGGGTGTGTGTAGGAGTCCTTGTGTGACAATGTAGGATAAACTCTGTACTGCTAACCACAAGGTAAGTGGTTCAAACCCAACCATCATTCCTTGGAAACAGTATACACAATCACTGTGCTTTGGAACCGATTCTATCGTACTCAATATTATAATATACAATACAA